GGGAGACTTCTATGAGGAGCGGGACACGCCGGAGGTGGGTCTGGGGGCGACTGAACCTCCCCGCTCCCCCTGCTGTGCTGTGGAGGTAGGTGATCCATGTTTGTGCTGCAGGGTCTGCAGTGGGTAAAGCTGAGCCCCGAGGAGATTCCCTCCCGCATCCAGGCCATCACAGGCAAGCGCGGGCGGCCCCGCAACGCCGAGAAGGTCAAACCCAAGGAGCCACCGCCTGCCAAGCGCGGCCGGGGCCGCCCCCCCAAGGCCAAGATGGTCGATCTGCTGAGCAAGACGGACGCGCGGCTGCTGAAGAAGCTGGAAGCCCAAGGTACCCCCCCCGGACTCCCCTGCTCGGTGCAGCCCCTCACAGCCTGACTCTGCTGTGACCTCAGCAGCCGGTCCATCACCCCCTCTCTCTCTGCCCCCACAGAGGTGCTCAGTGAGGAGGACAAGCTGAAAATGAGCAAAATCAAGAAGAAAATGAGGCGGAAGGTAAAGGCAGCTGTGTGTGGCTCAGAGGCTGCTCTGAGTCTGGGATAGGGGCTTCCCTGGTGCAGAAAGGCCACCGGATCCCTGAGGAGGTCCTGTCCCTTCCAGGCCAAGAACAAGCAAAAGCAGGAAGCCAAAGCCCCCAGAGCAAAGGAGACCAAGAAGAAGTCCAAGGTGAGTCGACAGGCTATGAGTGGGCTGGGAAAGGGCAAGAGATGGAGCTGCTGTCCCCATGGATCCTGGGGTCTGTCTTCAGGCTAAGGAGAAGAAGGGCAAACTGGAGAAGGGCAAAGAGAAAGCCCGGCCCAAGGAGAAGAAAGGCAAAGGGGCTCGCAAGGCAGACAAGGGGCTGCTGGCCCAGCGGCGGCTGGAGGAGCGGCGGCGGCAGCAGCTCATCCTGGAGGAGATGAAGAAGCCCACAGAGGACATGTGCCTGGGGGACCACCAGGTAGGCTGGGGTACCAGGGGGCTTAGCTGGGCTGAGCTGGTGAGGCAGCAGCCTGCCCAGTCCCCTGAGCATCCCCTGGCCTCCCCACAGCCCCTACCAGCCTTCTCCCGCATCCCGGGCCTCATCCTGCCCAGCTGCGCCTTCTCCAACTGCCTGACGGTCGTGGAGTTTCTCCAGAGCTATGGCAAGGTCCTGGGCTTCGACCCAGCCAAGGACGTGCCCAGCCTGTGTGTGCTGCAGGAGGGGCTGCTGGGGGTGGGCAACAGTGCAGGCGAGGTGCAGGACCTGCTGGTGCGCCTGCTGCAGGCTGCACTCTACGACCCCGGGCTGCCGCCCTACTGCCAGGTGAGCAGCCCCTGCCCCCTCAGGCCCTGCCCTGGTTGGGTTAGGGGTGTCACTGCCCATGGAGCCCAGATTTAGGAGGTGCTGCTCTTGCTACAGCCTTCTGCACCCTCTCCCTGTGCCTGGATGCCCTTGGGGTGCTCCTGTCCTGCTGCAGGGACCTGGAGCCCTGCTCGGATCTGCCTAGGACACCCCTGGGCTCGTTCCTGCTTGGGCTCCTGGCCCTGGTTTTCCCATCTGCAGGGTGCTGGCATCCTGCCTTTGTTGTTTTTCCCCTTCGGATTAATCTCCATGGGGCAGGAGGGTCTCCCTAACTTCACCTCTGCTCTGCTCAGTCCCTGAAGATCCTGGGAGAGAAGGTGTCTGAGATCAGTCTGAACCGCGACACCGTCTCTGAGATCCTGCGCTGCTTCCTGACGGCGCACGGGGCGGGCGAGGAGCTGTGTGAGGGGCTGCGGACTAAGCCCTTCCAAGCACTGCCCCCGGAGAGGAAAGCTGCCATCCTGGCCTTCCTGGTGAACGAGCTGAACAGCAGTGCCCTCATCATCAGGTGAGCGGGGCTGGGGGATGAGTGCAGCCGTAGCTCCCGGCCCCTCCTTCCCAAGGGAGCCACAGCCACCCCCTCTCCTTGCAGCGAGATCGAGAAGACCCTGGACAGCATGTCCCACTACAGGAAGAACAAGTGGATCATTGAAGGGCGACTGCGCAGGTGGGTGGGGGCTGCCAGGCTGGATGGGACCCCCTTTGCACCCTGGTGTTGGGGGTCTTGGGGTCACTTTTCTGGTGCTGCAGTGTAGCCGTGTACCCCGGGGCTCTGGAGAGTGGGGCTGGCAAGGAGGTAGTGGGGCTGGCAGGGGGGCAGGCAGTGGATGCCTGTGCTGTGTCCGGGCAGGCTGAAGGTGGCCCTGGCCAAGAGGACCGGCCGTCCCGAATCAGAGATCACGGGCCTGGAGGACTGTCGGCGCCGACGCAGCTCCCGCCTAACGGAGGAGAGGGGCCTGGAGATGGAGGAGGAGGAGAATCAGGGACGGAAGTCCCGCCGGGAGGAGGAGGTGGGTGGCCTCAGGGTTTGCTTAGGGGGCAGGGGCTGGAAGCTGCCCTTGGGGTTCTTCTCCGTGCCTGCATGTCCCTGACAGGACCCATCTCTTCCCCAGGCTGACGCGTCTGCATCCAGTGTCCCAGAGCTGGAGCGGCAGATCGAGAAGCTGGCCAAGGTGAGGGGGCTGCAGAGGGCTGGAGGCTCAGCCCCTGCTGTGGGGCTCAGGAACCCTCACCGCCTTACTCTCTCCCCACAGAGGCAGATGTTCTTCCGCAAGAAGCTACTCCATTCCTCACAGACACTGCGAGCAGCTTCCCTGGGCCAGGACCGGTACCGGCGCCGGTACTGGGTCCTGCCCCACCTCGGCGGCATCTTTGTGGAGGGCACCGAGGGTGAGTGGGGATGGGGCTCCTCGGGCTGGACCCCAGTGAGGAGGCACCCTGCATCTCACCACCTTCTCCTGCCCCCGCAGCAGCTGAGCCAGAGCCCCCAGAGCCCCCCAAGGAGAAGGCTTTCCCCCACAGCGCCCCGGTGAAGCAGGAGCCGGTGGAAGTGCCCATTCCCAGCCGGACGAGCTGCGCAGCCTCACGCTCCCGCGGCCGGCCCCGAAAGAGCAAAGAGGAGCAGTCGGAGCACAGTGGGCCCAGACCCTCACCCCTCAACGGGGTACTGGAGGAGCCGGAGCCACTGGGGCAGAGCCAGCATGACCTCAGCCAGTCTGCCTTCCTCTCATGGCTGAGCCAGACCCAGTCCTCCCTGCTCCAGGACTCAGTCCTCACCCCTGCCAGCAGCCCAGGCAAGGGGGATGCGGGGCTCCCACCACCCGAGGCCCCGTCAGACCCCATGGAGGAGGAAGAGGAGGAGGAAGAGAGTGCCCCAGAGGCTGCAGAAAAGCCCTGGTTCAACCTGCTGCCCCGGACACCCTGCAATGACCAAGCCCCCCTGGCTACCTCCTCAGCTGAGCCCTCACTGCGCACCCCCACGCAGCCCTTTGGCCACCCCCGTGGCGAGCTGCCCAGGGGCTCAGCCAGGCAGGTACGTGCATGGGGTTTGGGGGGCTGTGCCCAGCACTGCCACCCTGGGGGAATCTCCCCAGGCAACCAGGGGGACCAGGGTGGGACTTTCTGCCCGGGCAATGGACACTCAGCCCTTGGAGTTGACCTAGCAAGAAGTGAAATGGCCATAGGGTTGGGGGTCTGGAGGGTGCAGGGGTGGGGGGCTGTGCCTGGCCCTTCCAACATGCTCCATCCCCCCGCAGCTGAATGGCCTCCCCATGGACGACCCCACAGCACCTCTGCTCGCTTCCACACCAGTGTCTGCCAGTGCCAGGGCCCACGGTGCCTGTCCCCGGAGCCGGGGCAGCCTGGAGAGGCTCCAGGACATGCCGGGGCAGCCCAAGCGCCGAGGGCGGCCCCCCACCAAATTGTTTAAGCAGATTGAACAGAAGTACTTGACCCAGCTGACGGAGCAGCCCGTTCCCCCTGGTGAGAGCCCAGCCCAGCTCTGGGACCCCTTGTACCCCTGGGGCCAGTGCTGCTGCCAGGCACTGAGCACTGTGGTGCTGTCTTGCAGAGATGCAGAGTGGCTGGGGGGGGGGGGGGGACCCCGAGGAGCTGGAGGCTGTGGCCCGTGCTCTGCACCCACGGGGGATCCGGGAGAAGGCACTGCACAAGCACCTCACCAAGCACAAGGAGTTCCTGCGGGAGGTCTGCCTGCGCTCCACCACAGGTAAGGGCTGTCCAGGCAGCCGGGGCGGGGGGCTGTGGCTGGACCCCCTGCTGAGCCCACCCTGTGCCCCCAGACCCCATATTCCACCTGCGCCCCGAGGCGGCTGGGGGCGCCGGGTCTCCGGGAACCCCGGGC